GCTGGCGTGAGTTGGTTTGAGGTTTGTGCTCCATTGGGGGAGGGGGAAAAAGTGGGGGGAGGGGGGGGGGGTAGAAAAACAGAAGAAGGAAGATAAGCCTCAAAGGTTTCACAGCTGAAAAAAAAAAAACACTGAAAAAAAATTACCTTGATGTTTCTCATATTATAGTTTCTAGTGTCAGACCCCAGACAAATGCTTACCAGGTTTACAGCAGAGGACACATACAGAATTAGAGAATACTCTAGTGACAACACAACCAGTGAGGACATCTATTGCTGATGTACAACTACTGTTCGCATGATATTGTGCTACTGTAGTAACGACATCCATGTGCGATGTGACACCTGGTGATACTGTAGTAACGACATCCATGTGTGATGTGACACCCAGTGGTACTGTAGTGACGACATCCATGTGTGATGTGACACCTGGTAATACTGTAGTAACGACATCCATGCGTGATGTGACACCTGGTGATACTGTAGTAACGACATCCATGTGCGATGTGACACCTGGTGATACTGTAGTAACGACATCCATGTGCGATGTGACACCTGGTGATACTGTAGTAACGACATCCATGTGTGATGTGACACCCAGTGGTACTGTAGTGACGACATCCATGTGTGATGTGACACCTGGTGATACTGTAGTAACGACATCCATGTGTGATGTGACACCTGGTGATACTGTAGTAACGACATCCATGTGCGATGTGACACCTGGTGATACTGTAGTAACGACATCCATGTGCGATGTGACACCTGGTGATACTGTAGTAACGACATCCATGTGTGATGTGACACCTGGTGATACTGTAGTAACGACATCCATGTGCGATGTGACACCTGGTGATACTGTAGTAACGACATCCATGTGTGATGTGACACCCAGTGGTACTGTAGTGACGACATCCATGTGTGATGTGACACCTGGTGATACTGTAGTAACGACATCCATGTGCGATGTGACACCTGGTGATACTGTAGTAACGACATCCATGTGTGATGTGACACCCAGTGGTACTGTAGTGACGACATCCATGTGTGATGTGACACCCAGTAGTACTGTAGTGACGACATCCATGTGTGTTGTGACACCCAGTAGTACTGTAGTGACGACATCCATGTGTGATGTGACACCTGGTGATACTGTAGTAACGACATCCATGTGTGATGTGACACCCAATGATACTGTAGTCACGACATCCATGTGTGATGTCACACCCAGTAGTACTGTAGTGACGACATCCACGTGTGATGTGACAACCAGTGGTACTGTAGTGACGTCATCCATGTGTCATGTGACACCCAGTGGAACTGTAGTAACGACATCCATGTGGGATGTGACACCCAGTGCTACTGTAATGTCGACATCCATGTGTCATGTGACACCCAGTGGTACTGTAGTGACGACATCCATGTGTGATGTGACACCCAGTAGTACTGTAGTGACTACATCCACGTGTGACGTGACAACCAGTGGTACTGTAGTGACGTCATCCATGTGTGATGTGACACCTGGTGTACTGTAGTGACGATATCCATGTGTGATGTGACACCCAGTGGTACTGTAGTGACGACATTCATGTGCGATGTAGTGTGGACACCCTGTGGAACTGTAATGATAACCCTATTTGACTTGTAGTCCTACTTTTACCATCGACTGACAAGTACACGTGACACTGTATGGACATCTGAGTGACCACACAGGTAAAACCGAAACCTGGAATTTCTTGGCCTTTTGTGTGTTCGTTAACATATCACCTGACTCCAACTACCATCTACCAGTCTACTGGTCAAATGACTCCAACCACCATCTAACAGTCTACTGGTCAAGAAGTCAAGAACATGGACTCGACTCCAACCCAACAGCATCCGAGTGTCACGGAGCTAAATGAGCTACCAGAGTTTGCTGGCTTTGTTCACCGCAGCTCAGCCTGACGACGGTGCCAGATTGATCCACACCGCCTCCAGAACCGTGCTCATTGTCTGCTCTCTGATCTTAAGCATCTTTGGGATCCCTGGTAAGACTGACTGACCAGGTGAGATTGTGTATTTGTGTAGTATTGTTTGATTTGTGTGTGCTGATGAAGGCTCCATAGCCGCAACGTTCACGTTTTGTTTGTGTTTGTTATATTTTGAAGCTTGCTAACATACTTTTCCTTCGGTTTTATATCTTTTCCTCACTACTGAGGTGACTGATCTGAGGCTTGTCATGTGCTGCCAAAGAGCACCACTGAGTCCTTTAGATATTCAAAGCCATCCAATCATTCACGTGTTTGTCTGTTCTACTCTTGTGATTTCATAGAATATATTCTGATTATATTTTATTATTATTACTTTTAATATTTTTTAACACAATTTATTATTATTTTTATTCTTATTATGATTTGTTGCCAGACTTATTCACGTGGGCTGCACAGGTCGACTAAATCACCTCACCTAATCTAACTAAACGCGCTACAGGACATCTGTGCGCATTATGGAGCAGCCGGTCACACATGAGGCTTATCATTTGAGACTGACAGTTATCCATATTCGAGATCTGAGATAGTTCAATACACCTGGTTTAGCCACTTTGTATGGTATAACCATAATTAACTATTTCTGGTTTGCCTACCCTGTGAAATATGTGTGGATGTACCAGCAGCTAAATATGTGTGAATTTCCCAGCAGCTAAATATGTGTGATTTGGTCACCCGGATACTTATTTGAGGTTCGGCTACACTGTTAAATATGTGTGCTTTGGCTACACTGTTAAATATGTGTGCTTTGGCTACACTGTTAAATATGTGTGGTTTGGCTACACTGATAAATATGTGTGGTTTGGCTACACTGTTAAATATGTGTGCTTTGGCTACACTGTTAAATATGTGTGCTTTGGCTACACTGTTAAATATGTGTGGTTTGGCTACACTGTTAAATATGTGTGGTTTGACTACACTGTTAAATATGTGTGCTTTGGCTACACTGTTAAATATGTGTGTTTTGGCTACACTGTTAAATATGTGTGCTTTGGCTACACTGTTAAATATGTGTGCTTTGGCTACACTGTTAAATATGTGTGGTTTGGCTACACTGTTAAATATGTGTGGTTTGGCTACACTGTTAAATATGTGTGCTTTGGCTACACTGTTAAATATGTGTGGTTTGGCTACACTGTTAAATATGTGTGGTTTGGCTACACTGTTAAATATGTGTGGTTTGGCTACACTGTTAAATATGTGTGATTTGGCTACACTGTTAAATCGTGTGGTCTGGCCATACTGTGAAATATTTGTGGTTTGATGGCACTGTTGAATATCTTTGGTTTGGCAACCCTGTTAAATTGTGTGGTCTGGCCATGCTGTGAAATATGTGTGGTTTGATGGCACTGTTGAATATTTGTGGTTTGATGGCACTGTTGAATATGTGTGGTTTGGCAACCCTGTTAAATGGTGTGGTCTGGCCATACTGTGAAATATGTGTGGTTTGATGGCACTGTTGAATATTTGTGGTTTGATGGCACTGTTGAATATGTGTGGTTTGATGGCACTGTTGAACATGTGTGGTTTGGCTACCCTGTGAAATATTCATGCTTTGATGATGATGATTATCATCAGTTTCCACTTCTGCCGTTAAGTTTGAAGGGTAGCAATGGCTACTGTCATTCCGTGTCGATCTAGAAGCTCTTTAATGTCATCAGTCCATGTTCTCCTAGGGCGGCTTCTTGCTTTTCACTTCATGTGTAATATCTGCACTGGTAGTTGTTCTGGCTGCATCCCTACTAAATAAAAGTCCAACAATTTGCTCTTCCGTTTCTTACTGAATTTGCTGCATTGTTCCTACCGTCAGTCTGATATCATTTCTAACTTTGTCTTGCATGGTTAAGTTGGCGGCTTTTCTTTGACATCTCATTTCACAAATGTTAATTTTACACAGGTTAGCGTGGCACTTGTAGCACAGTGTTGGTATGAATATGCTGTTTATTATCTGTTTCTTGGCGCTCATGTTTATGTTTGGATGTCTCAATAGTGGCGTCAGTCGGTATATAAGTTCACTGGATCGTTGACATCGTGTTTTTATTTCCCGATCTTTTCTTCCATCCTGCGAGAATATGCTTCCTAGATATATACATTCTTTAAATTGCTTCAGATGCCGTTTAATCCGATATGTAGCAGACTAGCATACATGCATTGCTTCAGATTCCATTTAATCCGATATGTAAGCAGACTAGCATACATGCATTGCTTCAGATTCCATTTAATCCGATATGTAAGCAGACTAGCATACATGCATTGCTTCAGATTCCATTTAATCCGATATGTAAGCAGACTAGCATACATGCATTGCTTCAGATTCCATTTAATCCGATATGTAGGCAGACTAGCATACATGCATTGCTTCAGATTCCATTTAATCCGATATGTAGCGGACTAGCATACATGCATTGCTTCAGATTTGAAAGTATTAATTTTATGTTCTATCTTACGCATGTTGAACTTTGCCTGTTCAAATGTTTACGAAGAAGCCTTGATAGGCTGAGATAAGCCTATAAATGTTTGTAGACAGACCACTCCGTGAAACATTTATGGTTTTATCTTCTTCATCTTCTTTTTCACTTCCTCTTTTACCGCTGTGGGTGTCGAGGGAGATATAAAGTTCTGTTTCTGGCTCTTCTGGCCGCCTCGACCATAGGCACATCGTGCTGTTGTAGAGCTTCTCTGATGTTATCCTTCCATGTTGTTCTTGGTCTACCTCATGCTCTACGACCTTCTTCTCTTTCCATGTATGCTTTGTATGGTATGGTGTCACAAGGCATTCTCTCTAAGTGGGCAAACCATTTCACTTGCTGACTTTGTAGCTGTCTTTGATCAACCTCGTTAAAAGGTGAGTTTTGGCCACCCTGTTAACTATCTATGCCTTGAGAAGCCTATAAATATGAGGAGACTGACCACTGCATCAAATATTTGTGGGTATGCAAACTATTTTAATGGTCTTGGGCGTGGCCACTTGCAGGAAACATTTTGGCAATCAAGATTCTACAGCGGAGGTTGCTACGCGACAACGCCTTGTCGTCCTACCTCATCTGTCTGGCCGTGATGAATATCTGCTGTCTGGTGATTGAGATGAGCCGCTTTTTCCTCATGGGTCTACTCGACTACAACTACCGCGAGGTCAGCTATGAAGTTTGCCTGTGAGTAATGTCCCCCCACACACTGTCTTCCACTGCTGCTTCGTTCCTTCTTTGATCATCGTGTTTTATGTTGCTTTTATTTGCTCTTTGTTTCTCGACCAAACTTCCATTAATCTCCTCCTCGTATAGTCTAGAGCAGACACAGACGGTCAGGTGCATCCACACAGTTTCCATGTGCATGTCTTGTGTGAACTGCCAAATGCATCCACACAGTTTCCATGTGCATGTCTTGTGTGAACTGCCAAATGCACCCACACAGTTTCCATGTGCATGTCTTGTGTGAACTGCCAAATACACCCACACAGTTTCCATGTGCATGTCTTGTGTGAACTGCCAAATGCACCCACACAGTTTCCCCGTGCATATGTTGTGTGAACTGCCAAATACAGCCACACAGTTTCCCTGTGCGTGGGTTGTGTGAAGTGCCAAACACAGCCACACAGTTTCCCTGTGCATGTGTTGTGTGAACTGCCAAACACAGCCACACAGTTTCCCTGTGCGTGGGTTGTGTGAAGTGCTAAAGATATGATATTTCATTTAGATTAGTCAGCCGGACACAAAGACGCAGCCACTAAATGTACACGAAATGGGTTCACAAACGCGCTCTTGTCGACAGGCATCTACAAAAAACTGCCCAAGTGCTGCAGACATGTCGTCTACATGCAGGAGGGAGGTCCCAAGATTGGCCAGTCGGCATGCCGGTTGAAAGCAAAACTGTATGGATCATTGGTTGACATGAGTGGCACCACATCTTTCATTGGGGGTTTTGGTCTTCTTGTCTAGAAACCAGGTCAGTGAGAAGGAACAGTAGAGGAAGACCATTAGAGTTAGCGTACATTATATCAACTGTTGTCTAGTCACTGTTGCCTCAGTTGTGATGTCCTCCTTGCTTTCTTTGGCCCAAAATTCTCCCACAGATGGCTCATCTAGTTGACTTTATCTAGTCCTGCGCTGTTGCTTAGAAATACACTATCATCTGTTGCTCTGTTAAAGCTGTGGCCTCCTTCCCTTCTCACAAACACATCAGCTATCTCTCTTTTACACACTATCATCTGCTGCTCTTGGTGAGGTTATTCGGCTGACGCAAGTGCCTATCATTCCCTCCCCCCAGGATACATCGTTGGGCCACAGTTATGGTGATCACCGTGTGCAACTGGTTCCTAGTGCTCATCGCCTTGGGCCGGTGGCTGCTATTGCGCTACCCAGCCAGGTAAATATACACCTGACAAGCTGACAGGTAAACATTGAAACTTGCAATGGGTATATAGTGGAAGGGAGGTAATCTTTGACATATGCAATGGGCATGTCATGGCAGGGAGGTAATCATTGACATTTGTAATGGTTATATCATGTCATGGAGGTAATCATTGACATTTGTAATGGGCATGTCATAGCAGGGAGGTAATCTTTGAAATGTGCAATGGTTATATCATGTCATGGAGGTAATCATTGACATTTGTAATAGGTATATCATGGCAGAGAGGTAATCATTGACATGTGTAATGAGTATATCATGGCAGGGAGGTAATCACTGAAATTTGTAATGGGTATACCACGGCAGAGAGGTAATCATTGACATATATAATGGGTATGTCATGGCATGGAGGCAATCATTGACATATATAATGGGTATACAACGGCATGGAGGTAATCATTGACATATATAATAGGTATACCACGGCATGGAGGTAATCATTGACATATATAATGGGTATGTCATGGCATGGAGGTAATCATTGACATATATAATGGGTATGTCATGGCAGGAAGGTAATCATTGACATATATAATGGGTATGTCATGGCAGGAAGGTAATCATTGACATATATAATGGGTATGTCATGGCAGGAAGGTAATCATTGACATATATAATGGGTATGTCATGGCAGGAAGGTAATCATTGACATATATAATGGGTATGTCATGGCATGGAGGTAATCATTGACATATATAATGGGTATGTCATGGCATGGAGGTAATCATTGACATATATAATGGGTATGTAATGGCATGGAGGTAATCATTAATATATGCAATGGGTATATCATGGCAGGGAGGCAATCATTGAAACAAACAATGATATAAGCAGTTTACATGTCAAAACAAAAAATAGGTAAGAAAAAAAAAAAAAGGGGGGGGGGGGGTGTCATCGACATTGTACAAGTGTATATTGAGACAACAGTTTTCAATGATACACACTCTACTTTAAAACTATTAGCAGTATTTTCCTTTTTGCGGAGACAATGCTTTACCTCTCTCTCTCTCACTCTCTCTCTGACTCTCCTTCTGTGTCTCTGTCTGTCTCTGTCTCTCTGTCTCTGTCTATGTCTCTCTGTCTCTCTCTCGCTTTCTCTGTCTCTCTGTCTCTCTCTATGTCTCTCTGTCTCTCTCCGTCTCTCTCTGTCTCTTTGTCTTTGTCTCTCTCTCACTCTCTCTCTCTGTCTCTCTCTGTCTCTCTCTCTGTCTCTCTCTCTGTCTCTCTCTCTCTGTCTCTCTGACTCTCTCTGTCTCTCTCTGTCTCTCTCTGTCTTTCTATGTCTATCTGTCTCTCTCCGTCTCTCTGTCTCTATCTCTCTCTTTGTCTCTGTCTCTCTCTTTCTCTCTCTGTCTCTTTGTCTCTCTGTATCTCTCTGTCTCTCTCTTTCTCTCTGTGTCTCTCCGTCTCTCTGTCTCTCTGTCTCCCTCAATCTCTCTCTCTGTCTCCCTGTCTCTCTCTGTCTTACTGTCTCAGTCTATGTCGCTCTGTCTTTCTCTGTCAATCTGTCTCTATGTCTCTCTGTCTCTCTCTGTCTCTCTGTCTCTCTCTCTCTGTCTCTCTATCTCTCTTTGTCTCTATGTCTCTCTGTCTATCACTGTCTCACTGTCTCTCTGTCTTTCTGTCTCTCTCTGTCTCTCCGTCTGTCTCTCTCTGTCTCGCCTCTCTGTCTTTCCCTGTCTCTTTGTCTCTCCCTGTCTCTTTGTCTCTCTGTCCGTCTCTGTCTCTCTGTTTCTCTATCTCTCTCTGTCTCTGTGTCTCTCTGTCTCTTTGTCTCCCTCTGCCTCTCTCTGTCTGTCTATGTCTCTCTGTCTCTATGTCTCCCTATGTCTCTCTGTCTCTATGTCTCCCTATGTCTCTCTGTCTTTCTCTCCCTGTCTCCCTCTGTCTCTCTCTGTTTCTCGCTGTCTCTATGTCTCTATGTCTCTGTCTTTTTCTCTCTGTCTCTCTGTCCCTATGTCTCTCTCTGTCTCTCTCTCGCTCTATGTCTCTCTGTGTCTCTCTGACTTTCCCTGTCTCTTTCTGTCTCTCTGTCTCTCTCTGTCTCTTTGTTTCTCTTTGTCTTTCTCTGTCTTTCTATCTCTCTTTGTCTCTTTGTCTCTCTCTGTCTCTCTCTGTCTCTCTCTGTCTCTGTCTCTATCTCTCTCTGTCACTCTCTGTCTCTCTGTGTCTCTCTGTGTCTCTCTGCCCCTCTCTGACTCCCTCTGCCTCTCTGTCTCTCTTTCTCTCTCTGCCTCTCTCTGTCTCTCTGTCTCTCTGTCTCTGTCTCTGTCTCTGTCTCTCTCTCTCTCTCTCTCTCTCTCTCTCTCTCTCTCTCTCTCTCTCTGCTCTGCTCAGTTGCGCAAATGTCCTTCTGTCAGATTAGGTTCACTGAATATTTCGTCTTCGCCTCCTTCCCCTACTCTCTTTGTATCTTCTCTCTCTCTCTCTCTCTCTCTCTCTCTCTCTCTCTCTCTCTCTCTCTCTCTCTCTCTCTCTCTCTGTATATATATATGTATATATATATATATATATATATATATATATATATATATATATATATATATATATATAAATATATAAATATATAATATATATATATATATATATATATATATATATATATATATATATATATATATATATATATATATATTCTTGAGAGTCACTGAGGATTGAATAAATGAGTAATTGAATGCGCGCGCGCGTGTTTCTGTGCCTTCGAGCTGCTGCGTGTGTGTGTGTGCGTGCGCGTGTTTTTAACATCCATACTTCTGGATTTTGTCCCTAATATTCATTTGCATATTGTAATGAAACGCTTCATTGATCAAATACAACCGATGTTTTCACAACTTGTGCTAGGAAGGGCACAATGTAAGACCGACCTACGTGCCTAAATTGGGGACCTTTAAATAATACAATTCATTCGATCATTCCTTCTCTGTCTGTTTCTCTCTCTTTAATGTCTCTTTATCTCTCTAAGCTACTTTATCAGCCCCCCCCCCCCCCAATCATCGCCGCACCCACATAATTGCCCAAGTGTGTCGTATGTGTATTGCAGGGCGGCCACTTTGTTCAAACAAACAAATGTCTTCATCTTCATCCTCTCGACCATTTTCTCCATCGGATTCATCCAAGGCTTCGGGCTTCTGCTCTGGTTCGACTTTGATTTCTCGGGCAGCCAGGCCGCTCGCAGCTATTTCAAGTAAGTCCACCAAATGTCCACATCGACAAGACTGACCACTCGCCACTATTTTAAGTAAGTCCACCGAATGTCCACTTCGACAAGACTGGCCGCTCGCAACTATTTCAAGTAAGTCCACCAAATGTCCACATCGACAAGACTGACCGCTCGCAACTATTTCAAGTAAGTCCACCAAATGTCCACATCGACAAGACTGACCGCTCGCAACTATTTCAAGTAAGTCCACCGAACGTCCACATCGACAAGACTGGCCGCTCGCAACTATTTCAAGTAAGTCCACCAAATGTCCACAACGACAAGACTGACCGCTCGCAACTATTTTAAGTAAGTCCACCAAATGTCCACATCGACAAGACTGACCGCTCGCAACTATTTTAAGTAAGTCCACCAAATGTCCAAATCTACTAGACTGACAACTAATAATCATGTTAAGTAAGTCCACCATATATTTAGATCCACAAGACTGACCGCTGGTAATTATATTAAGTAAGTCCACCATATGTTTAGATCCACAAGACTGACCGCTGGTAATCATGTTAAGTAAGTCCACCATATGATTAG